AGTCGATTTTGGTGGTATCCGTCGACCGCTCGTTGACAACCACAATGTCCTCGGTTCGGGGAAGATGGGCTCGTTGCCGGAAGTTGGCAAGCCAGTTGGTCGAGGAGAAGATACACCTGACGAGCCAACTAGCAATGTGATCCGAGGGACTGATTGAGACTTCTTCGACACGTCCAACAATTTCTGCCGCCGTTTGCTGAAGCTCATCATCCATGGCGGTGAGGCCCAGTAGCCTCTTCGCTCTAACGAACTCGTGAAGTTGGTTTTCCAAAGGACAAGTCTGGAAAATGGTATCTTTGGAGGCTAGTTTCAAGGAAGACAGCCTGTTCTCAGCCGCTTGACGAATAGGACCGTATTTGGCTGATAGTTTGACTTCCTCGTCTGACATGATCAGATCACGCAGCCAGGAGAATTCGGATGAGATTTCTCGGATCGACAGTATTTCAGAGGCGAAAATGATACGACAGGCTTCTAGCTGCATCTGGCGATCGTCCGGTAGGGTCTGATGCTTATCGTAGTGGTTCTGCATAAAGTATGCCAGCTCGATTTTGATCAGCTCGTACGCGTTGCGAGGGGTCTCGGCTGGGGCGCCACTGGCTTTGTATGGATAGGGCGAGTTGCGCTCATTGTCAATGAGATCTGTATTACCACAAGTTAGACTTTGGGAGCTTGTCTACGGGATAGCTTAGGGGTCGGTGCATACATGGCGGGATCGAGTTCTCGACCATCTCGAGCACCGGTGCTTCAAAACCCCAGTCACCCTTCCAGTCCGCCATGGTGTTTCCGTCACTACGGTAATGGTTGGCAATGTGCTCCACTCGCGAACCCCAGCTGTCCAAGACCACGCCGCAGAAACCGCATCGTGACCGAATCTCTGGCGTGGCAACCTTCCAGGCCTTCATGGACCAATCGACAAACTTGCAGTCGTGGACGAGGCGCAAGTGTTGATTCAGATGATCTTTTCGGTAGAAGCATCTCTCTTGGAGCAGCCGCTCCTGGCACGCGGAATGGTTGTGACTCTCAACATGGGCGTTGTCGGGATTGGCCTCCCCACAGAACACGCAGGCGAGCTGATTTGTCGCCGGGTTGACTGCTACAGGCCCATCAGGAGCACACACCCACCTCTCGAGGGAAAGATGGAGGGACTTCTCGTGCCGTTGCCAGTCGTGCTTGGTCCTGAAACTTTCGGTACAGAATGTACACTGGAAAGTTTTGGGAGGAGCAGCGAGGGCGGTCTTCTCTTCGACCTTGGTGCCGACTCGCCTCCTGCGGCGCCTACGGCCGCGGTTGAAGGACCCAAAGGACCCGAATGAGCCACGGGAGGCATGGGAGTAGGCAGACGCGAACGAGCCGCCGCTGGAGTGCGAGGTTCCGTGGGAGGTCCCGAGAGAGCTGGCCGAAGAAGCGTTACAGAGGGATTTGCCTGATCCGTCGTCGGTAAAGTTGAAGCTGTACGGGCTCGTAAGACCTGGAAGGAGGTTAGCTTCATGATGCATGGTGATCAGTCAGACAGGAAGGACCATACCTGACGATGAGGTTCTAGAACTAGACGCAACGGCCAAAGCAATGGCAGAGACAGTAGCGGGTTCGTTTTCGGGCGGTGAGTCAACCCAACGCTCCAAGGGATTCATGTTGCGCACTCTGCCGTCCGGCGCCGGAGTTCCCCGTCTCTGAGGAATGTCGATGGCACCGCTGTAGCTGCGCGGATGAGGAGAAGTGGAGCGAGGAGCTTGAGTTTTGCCCCTACGACGGGCATTGGCAAGCCAGTTGGTGATCTGGGTTTTGTTGAGGCCCGTCTGGCGCTGAAGCATCTCTTTCTCTTCGTCGCTCGGATAGGGGTGACGTGTGTGGGTGGAAAGCCAGTTTTTCAGGATACGGACAGACTCGCGGGAGAAACGAGCGCCAACTTTGGCCGGAGTAGCCGTTTTGGCCTGGGCAATCTCCATGGCAGGCTGGTCGGCTGAGGCAGTCATGCCTCTAAGTAGGTCTGGTGTCGACGTCCCGGGCAGACCAGCAGCGACAACATTGTCCTCGAGGGCGCCACGAGGATGATCACCCATCGCCGGCCAAGCGTTCAGAGATGACAGGAGGTCCATGTGGTCATCCTCCTGAACGGTGCGTGGATGGTCGCCCATGATGGGCCAGGGATTTTGGGAAGGGATGGCATCAGATGTGTCGAGGTCGGCCAGACCGCCAGGCAAGTGCTCGGCCAAGCTGCATTCGCTTCGAAGAGCAACACAGGAAGTACAGTACGACTTGAACTTTCCCTCCTTGATCTGTTTGCACGAATAGCCACCAAGGATGCAATTGTTGCATGGCGTCTCGGGAGCGAACCACCAGTCCTCTTGGGCGCTGGAGAGTTGCGTGTCAATCAGTTCGAGGGGGTTGCCATCAGTCAGACCAGCTCCTGGTGGTGCAAGATCCCCAGAAAAGTGCTCGAGGGCGACGAATCCAAAATCGTCATCGTCGGCATTCTCCAAAACCAGATCCAGATTGGGATCGGTGGGTGGCACGTCCTGAGTGGGCATGTTGAAGATGTTGCCCACCTCGGTAGCGGCAGCCTCCCAGTTGACGAATTCGTCCATGCCCGTGTCCTCGGGGATGGTTGTCATTGTACTGACTGGCCCTTAATGAAGGGCGCGGACTGATTTGGGAAACTTCCTGAAGGGCGTGAATGGCATGGGAGAGATCTCCTGCAGACGGAATTGCAGATCGATAGGGCGTAGTGGTGCTCCAATGTGTCGCGTCGATGTCGATGTCGATGGTGCTTGTCAGTCGTCAAAGAGGCCGGAAGGGCGTCGGTGAGCCCCGCTCCGTGTAATCTTCCTGAACGACAAATTGACAACCGAGAACGGTCGAGATAGTAAGTAGGTCCGGGCTCTTTGGAGTTGTGACAAATCCAAAGTCCCACGGAGGCGAATTGAGAAAAGGTTATAAGAAAGAAAAGGGTACAAGTCGAGACAGACGAGTTCCAGGCGACGAAATCTTTTATTCAAAAGAACTATCCTCCTCGCTCAGTAGATCGGATCAAGCCAGATGGATTCTGGCGTTCGAGGAAGCGTCCAAGTCGGAGTCACCAATGGTTGGCTTGCCAGACCAGGATTACAATGGGTCGTGTCATCAGAAGGGCGCAAGTCGCATGTCTTTTGACAAGTTTACTATGCACACCCTTCGGACGGGGGGGGGGGGGAGGGATCACCCCCCACATCTCTGCGAGCGAGCCTGCGCTTGCGCCAGCGTCTTCCTTGTGCGTCTGCGTATGGGAAAGGCTGGTTCGCGTTCTGGCGGAGAGGATGCGGAGTGTAAGCAGTAGTAGCTGAGATAGGGCGCCGTCGGTTGGCCGGCGGCTTCTCATGTCATCATGGGATTTACGTTAAGATAAAAAGGTTCTTAAGACGAGATACTCCCAGGAATACTGTTGCTTTAGACTCAAGTTGTGTAGATTTACTCATCGTCGCCAATCGACATAAGAAGAGGATGCTGATATCGTAAGTACGAACACAACAGACCCTTGGGAACTTTGGTACTAGGACGCATACGGATACAGCATGACAAGGCAATTTTGCAGTGTGCTTTCTAGAACCATCGTGCTGTTTCTACTGGACATTTCAGAAGGCTGAGTGGTTGCAAAGGATGCAACGAACTCGTCGCCCTCAGCCGATAAGCTGAAGACCAGAGCATTGGTTCGCTCTTCTATTTGGCAACTTTGCCTGCAGTAGGTTACTCCGCAGCCTACCCATCTCCTAGTATGTTCCGCTACTAGTCAATGGGGGTGTTGAACATGTCCGTCTGACGGTGAGGCCGTTCACACCAAAAAACGCTTAAGCTAAACACTATAGCCAACCTACGGGGGTGTTTCTACACAGACTGTTCAGCCAATGTTGTCCTTCTCAACATGGTCCTGTGTAACCTGTATTAATAATTGACCCGCCTTCTGCAGCCATCCACCCAGAAAACCATACTTCAAGCCACGAGAAACTGCGCCGGCCTTGGCTCTTGAAGGACCCAAGGGCGTAGGGACTCGCATTCCCGTCTTACACCCATGTACATTGATTTCTCTGAACGTCGTTACGTCGGCCGGTAGATGGGCGGCTTGTGAGTCAAGGTTAAAGCAGAGTCGAGGTATATGATCATGACAGAGGCCATATTGCGATTCTAAAGGACGTAGAGACAGGATCTCCCTAGCCAGTTGTTATTAGTCTGCCAAAAGCAAGAGGCAACTTTCCATTATCAGATACATTTGGCAATCGAGAGCGAGGAAGCCGAAGCCGATTCCGCGTTTTGTTCCCAGGCTTCCCGCGACGGTTTCTCCGCGGCTCTCCCATGTCCATGCGGGCATGAAAATGCTTGATTGCAACTTGCAAGCCCGCCCACCCGTCAGCCGCACCCCCGACGACCGCTGACCGCTCCCCGGGCCTGGAGATGAGTCGAGAACTCGAGATGCGAAACGACCACCCACCCATTCCGTCGGTCCAAGTTCTCGGCGTGCGCTAGACCCGGGTTCCTCACCCACTCCGGACCCCACTGCCGTACGAGGAAAACCTCGGAGCCTTCGAACAAAGGCGCTTGTTAGGACCCTTTGTCGGCTGCGACTGCGAGGTCGGAGGGCTGTTTGGGCCAAAGCTTACGGCGTGAGGGCCCTCCAGCCGACCGAAGATGGCTTCCATCGGTCAGTAGCGGTTTGAAGTGGATAACGCGGCCGGAAGGATTTCTAAGATGGAAAATCAAGTTTTGGCATGATCACAATTGGCCCATGGGGTCCCCTTGGACTTCATCGAGGAAGAAGCGAGACCGGCGACTACAGGGAAGAATCAGTCAAACCAGACCGAGGTATTTCCAAATTGTTTTGACCGTCAACTTGCAGCAATGACTCGGATGAGTTCAGCTAACAAAACACAATACTGAGGAGACTGATCCCATGTCGAGGCTTTGTAAGGTGCGATGCATTCGCAATCGCTGGTCTCAAACTTGCTTCATGTTCATTCATCTACACGCTAACTCTAACAGCAAATCGCGTCAACCGCTTTCTCGAAATATTCATTCCCAGAGGCCTGGTTGATGTACTTCGTGGTAAGCTCCTTCAGCAGCGTCATCTGGGTATAGTCCGCCAAACCAATCTTATTCTCCCCGAGCGTTGGGTTGAACCTGATATACGCCGTCTTGGGACCCTTTTGCCTGCCGTTGATCGCCGCCATGTGCCTCGAAAAGTCTTTGCCCTTGGCCTCCGTGTTCGTCGCGAACGCCATCACCGTCGCCGCGACCCCCGTGAGACGGAACCAAGAGTCGTTCGGAGACTCGGTCTTGTTGTAGCCTGTGCCGAGACTAATCACGCACGAGATCTTGGGCTCCTCGGCTCCTTCTTGTGCTTCGCCCGGCTGGACGAGGTCGTACCGCGCATTCCACAGTTGATCGATGGGGTTGTTGTTCAAGAGTCCTCCGTCCCAGAACGTGAGCGGCTTCTCTGCACCCGCGGGCCACTGGACTTCGGGGAAGTACGTCGGGGCGGCAGAGGTTGCCCTCGTCGCGAGACTCATTGTGATTTCGTTTCCGTGGCTCTTCATGAGGTTGTTTACTGTCGAACTGGTGTACACGTTGGTGTTCTTGTAAGTCTTCATCAAAACCGTTTCGCCTCTGTTTTGGGCCGTTGTGCACACAAGCCTTGGATTCAAATGTTAGAATTTTGACGTAGTCTGAGGGGCTGAAGCGGTGCTCTCGACTTACAACTTGCCAGCTGATGGGTGTTGAAGCAGAGCCTCCCCCTTCAACCGCTTGTCGTCCTTGTCTAGGCCATGTTCATCTACAACTCTGTTGATGGCCGTGACCAAGGACGCGTCGTCAAAACGACTACTCTGCACCACTGTCTTGCTATTATTCACCCAGGAGGAGAGCGTATTTCCAAGGAACCCGATGCTCCAGCCATAAATCTTGGGCTTGAAAACGTCCTCGGCAATGATATCATACTGCGCAATGGCCTCCGTGGCCGTCATGCGAAGCCGGAATAGCATGATGCCAATGATCCCACCCGTGCTGGTTCCGGCTGCGAGTTCAAAGTAATCCACGGGGAGGGGCTCCTTTTCCAGCTTCTTTCTCAGTTGGACCCGGCGCATGAGTTCTTGTAATATGAGGAGGGAGACGACGCCACGAACGCCGCCTCCGTCGAGGGCGAGGAGGCGGGCTCCATTAGGATGTCGTGTGGCAGGTGATCCAACCATGATGGAGTTTCGATAAAGGTATTATGTAGATGCGATGAGGAGAAGAAGATTGATGCTTAAGCCGCCCGCTGGGTGATTTCGTTGAAGGATCCGGCCGTCATTTTATGTACATCGCTGTGACAGGCTTGCGTCAACGCAATTAGACAAGCAACAAATCTGCGACTCGTTTCTCATTATTCCCCTCGAATCTAGACCTTTCAGTGGCGGCTTGCGTTGAAGCTGATGAAGTCTTTACACGTCAATATCGACCCGAGCTGAGAGTCTGAGACCGGCCATACCGGGGGTCTGGTTCAGCTCGTCTGCGTGCGAATCGCACTATCACCTGCCGATGGGGAAATATTTGATAGACCCTCGTCGGGTTTGGTCTAACACGGGCAAGTGCCACTCCCATTCAAGCAACACTTAATGCTTAGCTCGGGCGAGTGCGCTTCTCACATGCAAACTAAGTGGAATGTCTGTCCTCATTTGCCCAGGAGGTAGCCAGTTTCGGCTGGCTCGGCGAGGGATATCATCCGACGACGCGTCTGTAATAAGAGGTGCGCAGCAAGAAATCGCCAACTTCAAAACGAAGATGTGGTTTTTTCCGGCATTGCAGGCGCGATGGATCGGCCTCGACGGGATCTGCCTCAAAAATAAGAATAAGAATCACACAATGCGGTCCATGCCGTATCCCAGGCTGGCGCTAAACTCCGTATATTGATTTCAATCCGAAAACACAATACAATACGAGATTGGAGCAACTTGGACTCCAAAATGGAGATGTAGGAAATGCCACTTCTAGCCAATGAAGGCAAAACAATCTCATATACGCACCATGATATACCGGCCCTCATTCATCACCAAGGTCACCGTGAGCGCGCCTCGATTCGAAGCCACGGCCACTAAAGTAACCGAGTCGGATGATATAGGTGATGGAAATATTCCTGCTCGCGTTTTGGATCCATCAGAGGTAAATCTAGGTCATCCTTGGTCCAGCCACGCCTCTGGGTAGATGATGAAAATGATGGCGAATGGTTCAAGTGAGCCGCTTCATGGGAACTGGTCCCGATGGCGGTCTGTTCATCAGCTGGGAAGTATGATGGGCTCTTGAATCCCTATATTGAAGGCACAAAGACTCTTCTTACTGAAACTGCTGCTGTATAAGATGCACTAATTGGGGTTATAAGGTTGACGACTTATTCATGTCAAGGCGCGTCGAGAAGGGGAGGGTTCAAGCATCCTCCTCTCCCACATCCACATCGCAACTTGGCCTGCCTCGTATACCTTAGTTATCGCATATTAAACAATTCATCGGCCCAAGTCTCCAGTGTGAAATTTGATTCATGTTCCGTGGCGGCTTCTGGTATCCCAATAACCTCATTCTTACTTCGTGCCCGAGAGACCGGTCTGAGCCGTATCGAAGTTTCGCCACCGCTCATTCTCGGTAATCACAATCTCATGTTTGGCTTCTTCACTCGCTCTCATCCCATCCGATGCGTCGAATAGTAGCAATTTAGAACCATCCTCGTCACAGACTAAAGCATCACTCTGCCCTCATAGCATCACCTGAATCTGTGCCCAACCAAAGCCCAGCTGAGGCGTGAGATAATGCTGTTGCATATGAAACATCGCGGGGGACACAGGAGCTGAGAGGAAGAATTCTCATATGCCATTGACTTTCCAGGCAGGTATCTTTGCCCCGTCCATATGCTATACATATCCTTTTGACGCCCCAAAATTGTGTTCACATAGTACACGTAATATTTCTTCCAAACAAGTGGTATATAGAATGAAGAGAAAAACACGCCCTGCGCCACGCCATCCCAAATTACAAATTGAGGCCTTGACTTGACTCTCACTAGAGTTGGATAGAGACCAAAATCAGCTCATGATGGCGGCGTGGCACTCGGTCCCGATATTCGGCGTCTCCAAGTTGCCCTTGGTCTGATTCCCCGGCTTGAGGTAGCAGTTGCCCGGCGCCTTGCCCTCGACGGCGCCCGCCCTCGTCGTCCACAGCGGGATGAAGCTGACGCCCGTGCACGACGCGTTGCCCTCGAACCCGGGCTCGTAGTTTGTGAAGGATGCGCAGGCATCCATGCAGTTGTCAAAGTTTGCCGTGAAGAGCGACATCAACGGCGAGTTGGGTGCGTTTTTGTTGCCTTGAGGTGGCATGTCAGCAATGCGCAAAAGTGATGTGAATCTTTCAGGGCTTTACTTACAGTACATGGTGAACGTCTTCTTGCCGAAAAAGTCAGTCGTGTACGTCTGTCCGGTCGTCGTCTCGCTCGAGTCGGTGCAGCCGTTGGTGAGGGCGTTGAACCCGGTTGCCGTCGCCGAGGCGCTCGTCACCGTCACCGTCGTCGTCGCCGTCGTCCCGCCACTCGTCGCCGACGCCGACATGGCCGCCAGCTCCTGGATCGCGTTGTTGGCCCGGCTCGCCTCGACGCCGGTACCCGCCGCCAGACCGATGACGGCGGCCGCCAAGACGGCGATGATGACGGAGAGGAGGAAGACGAGAAACGTGCAGCCGCAGACGGTCTTTCTGTTCTTCTGGGGCGCGGCGCCGGTCTCCCCGGCGCCGTTCTGGTATTGGTTGCCGCCGTAGACGGACTGGTCGACGCCGGAAGCCGGGTACCCGTACGTCGAGCCCTCCTGCTTCATCGGCGTGACGGGTTCCGGCTGTGGCGAGGCTGAGTACGACTGCTGGGGAGGTGGGTGGTAGACCTCCGGGTACTGATGCTGAGGAGCCAGCTCTGGGCCTTCATCGTACTGATGCTGTGTTGTAGCCATGATCAGTCTTCCGGTGGATTGAACGGGATCTTTGGTGAAGCTATGAAGAACCGAAGAGATGGGGGAAAACCGAGAGAAAGGAGAGCCAAGAGGAAGGGAAAGCAGCTAAGCGGGGAACTTACCCTGGGAGCCATTTTTAAGTACTTGACCGTACTCATAAGAGGCAGAGAGAGGGAGGCAGACAGGCACCAGAAAAGAGCCGGAAGGATTGGACAAGGTGTGGGACGGGAGAAGCATGAGCTGGGATCGAGAAGGAGGAGGAGGAGCAGGAGGTAGATCAACGAAGGAACTGGAGTGGCCACGGGTGGGAAGACATGTTAGTCTAGCGTTGCAGTAAAATCTGACCCCAGGCAATGGCCCCCCATGTTACCCATCCTTTGGGCTGATGGTTGAACTCTCTTCAACGTCTGGGCGAAGGGTAACCGTCGACTCTGGAGTGATGGTGAGAGTGAGAGTGAGAGTGAGCAGGGCATGGCATGGCTAGCTTGCTACACTAGTAGAGGGGGCCAGCACGGGTCGCCGGATCCAATCCTTGAATCAACCACACACTCGCGTAAAAAGATACCTAGATATTGCAGGGGTCCCGAAGAACGGGGTCGAGACCACTACCACTGCGGGCACCGGTGGATGGCTGACAGGCAAAGGACAAGAAGAAGAACGTGAGGAAGAAGAAACTTCAGACGGGACCAACCACCATTGGTGATGGAGCTGACGGGCTGAGGCTTTGCAGGGTTCCAGTTGCCTACGTGGGCGCTAAGTTCTCTCCTCCTCCTCAAATTTGCCGTGGTTCGTGGGATTCTGGCTGGGCGGAAAGAAACGAAGCTTGTATCCGTAGTGTGTAATGTGTAAAATAGGTCCCAGTTGGCGCTTCCTTCGCATGGGTTAGCCGCTAGGAGCACTCCTAAAGTCGCGCAAGTCCCAGCCACGAAAGCTTGACGTGAGCTTTTTGTGCGCCGTTGCCCCTTGGAGGACTTGGTCTGGGAAAGCTCGGCGCAGCAAAGACACATGTTTGTGATTTCTGGCCACAATGTGTCCCGGCACCGGATACGTCTTCTGCGGGAGAGACAAGCGTTAGTGATACCATGCAGGCGAGCGGATCGCCCCAGGCAGCTCTTATGCGCTTCTTTATCGGGTACGAGATGGGCAGAAGATATCTATCACGCCCTCCGCCTCTCTTTTAAAGAGGGAAGAAAAAAAAAACCAGTCTCAAAAGGACCATTGCCTCATGGATTGGCATCAATGATTTCCTAGAGAAATTTGATCCGCGGAAAGGAACCAATAAGGCAGTATAGTCACAGTTGACAAAGCAGAGAGATTGCCAACTCAGTAATGAGCATCACGACATTCTGCTCTCTAGGTTGCTAGTGCTTACCAGCAGTGGGACACGGTTTGACAAGGGCCACCCATGGATACTACATTGCTACCACATTCGACTTACCCAATAACAGGGTTTGTGGAAACGGCGGGCCTGCGGGCTGAATTTGGAGGTTACAGTTGATTGCCTATTGCTACGCTGAGCGTATCCGTGATTCCGCACATTGTCAATTGTCGATGGTCGCTGAATCTGAGGTTCATCTCGTCAACCGAAACCTAATTGCTTTTCCATAACGGGTATCCGTATAAAGTAAGGTAAACGCCAGCAAAAGGGTCCAGGATTAGAAGGTTGAATGAAAGGGACGGGCTAGCATACATAGTCAACCACACCGTTGCGGCGCCTTACTGCGTCTGGGGTTGTTTTTAGCAAGAGGGCTGAAGCGGCAAGCCCTTCCCGTGGATGGACGCCGCACGCCGCACCACCATCTCTCCTGGGCTGCCTCGTCCGCCCGTTTACTCAGGAACTCGCGCTTCTCGAGAGCATGGGCGCTCCCGTTGCCAGGCCGGTTGGTGTGTGCGGTGACCACGTTCGTCATGGAGACAGAGGGGGAGAGGAGGTGAAAGGCTATCTTCATCTCTATCTCTGGCCGAAGGGTGGAACTGTGTACTCCGTAGTTGTGGGTTGTCCCCCACAGGCTTTCTTCCGGATGTTGAAGAACTCCGAAATCAAAAGATGGAGGTTTCTGCTCAGCGTCTGCGGTAAGATGCAGAAATTTTGAAAGGGGAAGTAGATCAACACACAATACCCCTGTAGTCGCCGACCTAGACTGGGGTGGTGGTATGGTCCATCAACGCCCGCACGCAGTCCTTAGAAGTTCAAGTCTTGGAGATGTCTAGATCGATCTTTAACCGACACT